ATGACCATAGATAACATAACAAAGTGACATATGACAATTATGTCTTCATCATATTCCTTCTTTCCATCCTTCCTGTCCCTGCAAGTACCTCCTCACCTCTCCCTTAGATTATTGCAGTATCTTCAGGACTCAGTGAAGGACTCAACCCCTTCAAATCTATCCTCAAGCCACTGCTTCAGTCATCTTTCCAAACCCCCAATTTGACCATGTCATCTTCATGCTTAAAAGCCTTTGATGGCCCCTCACGGTTTATATGTTAAAGTTGAGGTTCTTTAGCAGGTCGTACAGGGCTTATCTCAGTGTAGCTCATTCTTCAGCCTTATCTCCCCTCTGCTGGGAAAAAAAGGTTAATAGGGAAGATTTACTTCAAATAGTGTGGCCAAGGGCAGAATTCTGCGAGGAGGGGACATCTAGCCCTTTGAGGACTCGCCGCTTAATAAGTGCTTTCTATGCCTTTGCGGCACTCACTGGGTGACCACGTGCCTGCCGGATGCCAGGCCAGTGCCAAGTGTTTAACCTGGAGCTATATCTTGGTCTTCCAGGCTCATCGCAGCTTCTGTGGGTTCTCTGGCCGCTGTGGCTCTGTGCTGGTGCGTCTCATCCCCGCCCCCAGAGGCACTGGCATTGCTTCAGCCCCTGTGCCCAAGAAGCTACTGATGATGGCCGGTATCGACGACTGCTACACCTCGGCCAGAGGCTGCACTGCCACCCTGGGGAACTTTGCTAAGGCTACTTTTGATGCCAACTCCTAGATGGGTTCTCTGTTAATGCCTAGTTTATGGTCGAGGAAAGTGAGCCTCATAGAGTTTGTCACTTGCCTTAGTTCCCACAACCAGTGTGTAACAAAGTCAGGTAGGGCTCAGGCTCCCCGACTCCAAACCCAGCATCCTTAGTCTCCGTGCCACACTGCATCTGCAGAGACGGAGACAGGATGCTGCTCTCTGTACAGTTTGGAGACAGTTTGGCTGGAAGACACACAGCTTTCAAGAGGAACCCGAACTCCTCGCCCAGCACTCAGCCCTCCGCGATCTGGCCCCTTGGACCTCCTCAGCCTCATCTAGCCGACCATTCACTGCGCACCCCCTCTCCATCCTGACCCAGCTCCCCTCAGACCCGGCCTGAGTCACAGTCACTCATGCTCTAGGACTTCACTCAAAGGTCACCTCCTCCAGGATGCCCTTCCTGACGTGGCTACCCTGTAAGCCAGGCGAAATGGCCCCTCCTTCTGTGCCACCCACTGTGTAGTACCTGTCATGTTAGACTGCAAATGCTGACTGTCTTCTCTCCCCATAGACTGGGCTCCTCGCAGGCAGGGACCAGGATGGTTCACTCTGTGTTTCCAGGGCCTTGCCTGGCAAGGAGTAATTGCTTTATTATCACCTGCTGACCGGAATTCACACAGCGAATGTCAGAACTGGAAGGGGACTCCGGGTGACTACGGTTGCTCGCATTTGCAGTATACTTGAGATCTAAAATGCCCTTTCAGACCGGTTATTTCATTTACTCCTCTGAGACTGGTATCATCCCCATAGGTGAGAAAACGGAAGTTCAGTTAAGTGACTTTTCCAAGTTCGCCCAGCCAGGAAGTGGCTGGGCTGGGACTGACCTAGGGTCTATTTGACTCCAAGGCTAGTGCTCTTTCCATCACTTCCGCAGTGATCTGATTCAAATAACACGCACATTTTACTGATGAGGACGCCGAGGCCAGGGGAGCAAATTGCTTGCCCAGGTCTTGCGGTCCGTACCCCATTCCGTGGTCTTTCCTCCACTCAAACAGGAAATGCCCAGGAGGGTCACAAGGTGAGGACTGGGTCCTGAGCTGGGAAAGGGTGGACTGCCTGTACCTCTTCCCATTGCTCATTTCCCATTTGTCAAACCTGAATGTTTAAATCTTGTATTTAGTATTTATTCTGAAATGGCTTTCATCTAACTTCTCCCCCCTTGCTCACCAATTTAGCTGTCAGAGTAAATAAATGTGAAGCTGGGTCTCTAGCCTCCCCTGGGCTCACATTACCTTCCTAGAATTACACCCCAGTGGGGTGGAACCGCTGCTGGGGGTGAGGGGGTGTTCCCATGAATTATCTAGTTACTGTTGAAGCCTCTTTTCAAACCCAAACCTTGGACCTAGACTCAGGTGGAGAAGGATGGCAAAATTCACCTTGGAGGATGAAATGACCATATCATGTTTAGTGACCGGGAGAAAGAATGAGGTAAGGACTAGATGACATTGTACCTTCCAGATGCTTATGACGTCATACACGCACGATGCTGATGACACTATGTATACAGACTCCGTATGACATTATACACCTAAGGTGTTTATACCATGCCAGAAACCGAGGCGACACTTTTAAAAATACTAGTTTTTAATATGTGGTTCATTGTCACTACACTCCTGAGAGGTAAGTGTTGGTATCTCCATTTGTAAGTAAGGAAACTAAGGCTCAGAGAACCTAAGTGACTTGCCCACAGTCTCCTGTAGGAAGAAATCAAGGATCCCAATGGAATGCACTGAGTTTGCTGATCCTGATTTTGCCAAGTCACTCATATATGGACTCTCTTTCCTGCTGGAGTCAGGAGTTGTTAGAAGAGAGATTTTTTTCCCAAAGTAAGTTCACTCCTGTCCCTTTTGAGGTCAAGCAAGCCTTGGGTTGGAATAAGGGCTCTGCAGCTCCCCTAGGTAAGTTATTCAAAAGAATATTAGATTATTTGATTGAATGAAGCCCTGCCATCCCCCATTAAAAAACAAAACAAAACAAAACAAAAAACCTGATACGGCATCTAATAGAGTAACACCTGGAAAATGTAGCCAGTCCATCCTGTCATGATGGGAGCCCTTCGACATGAATCATTTGCTCAATTTTCACAAGGATAAGAAGTAGAGTCTGTTGTCACCCCCACTTCACAGATGAAGAAGCTGAGGCTGAGCCAGGGACTGACTACCTTGTCCGGGGGTTACCGGGTCATAAGGGGCAATGCTAAGACTGGCAACACAGCAGTCTGACTCCAGAGTCTCTCTCATGATTGAGATGAACACCTCTTATTCCAATTTTGATTTCCTGAGCACCTAATCCAAATTCAGGAACGGAACCGCGTAGTAGGTAAGAGTTTGGGTTCTGGAGTCTGAGTGCACCTGGCTGGCGCAGTCGGATGAGCATGCAAGCCTTGATCTCAGGGTGGTGAATTTGGGCCCCACACTGGGCATGGAACCTACTTAAAAAAAATAAGTATAATAACATAACCTCCTTGTAGGGTTGCTGCAAGGGTTAAGGAGTATAATACAGTTGCTGAGTGTATTCGGTGCAAAGAGATAATTGAGGGGGAGGAGGTGGTTCATCTGTGGCTATGTGGATGTTTAAGGGTGCACGTGTATGTGTGTGCACACGTGTGTATATGCACACATCTCACTAGCTTTCTCATTACAATCGTTCTCTTCGTATAAAAGATTAGGATTCGGAGAGAAACTTCTCAGTCTGAATTTCTGTGTCTGAGAGCAGTAAATGTCCAGGAGGGGGTGGGAGATGCCATTGGTTGGGGCTGGGGCTGATTCTGTGTATCTTGGTGTCTGTAAAGGAGCAGTATTTGTATCTTTGAGGGATATAGGTGTGGGTCTTTTGTATGACATTGGTGTGCAGGTACCCTTGTCTGCCATGTGTGCCCGTGTGTGTGCGTGATCGAGGCTGTAACCATCGGGAATCCTGCCGTCCGCAGAGGTGTATATGCTGTCTCCGCCTATAAATGGTTATTTTGCCATTTTGTGTGTGCGTATCTGTGGGTGTCTGAGTAGAGGACATGAGGTTTTGCTTGGGTTTGGAGCTCTGTAGTCGTCTGTGTGCTCTCTTGAGTATGGATGTGAGTACAGGCGGAAAAACAGTTGTGTGGGGTGCACATCTGTAAATGAGGGCAATTAGGGGTTGTGATGATATGCATGGTGGCGGGGGGTGGGGGTGTCGTGATGTCAGTAAGGTTGGCTCTAAGTCTGAGTGTGCATATTTATTTTGCCAAGATGATGTGTATTTACATGTGTCTCTCTGGGCTCAGTTTGTGTGTGGAGAAGGGGGCTGGAGGCTGTGAGTGTCCACTTGTGTGTGGATATTGTGGAGAGTGTTCGTGTGTGTAAGCCTCTACATTTGAGTCTGAGGGTTTTGTGTGTGTGTGTGTGTGTGTGTTTAGGGGCCGTGTCTCCTAGCCACACGCCTGGGCTCCCCTGCCTTCCCCACCTCTCTGACTATCAATAGAACTCTACGGAAGGTGAGGTGTGCATTAGACTGGATGTCTCAGCAAATCCCAAAGGGAATGGGGCTAGCCCAGGCAATCCCTCCCAGGAGAATTGAGGGAAATAAGTGCCCCCCCAACACACACACCAAGTAACTCCCCATCCGCCACCCAACCCAACCCCATTCAGCCCTAGGAGCCAGTCCACTCTCTGGTTGTTAGGGAGCAGAGGCATTTGTTCAGGTGTGCATACGGATGCCTCGTATTCCTGTAAATGATGTGAACAGGTAATCATTTACGGCAGTATGTACACAGATGTACCGGGAGTGGGACTCCAGCTCGGCCCGCAGTGTGACCATGGGTCCCTCTTGTACCTGCGAGCGGGGCTGTGCCTGAGGGCCGTGGGTGCCCCCTGAGGGAGGGGCGGTAGTGAGGGCTGAGTGGGAGGGGGGGCTGATGCCTTTGTGTGTCAGCTGTCTGAGTCTCTGTCAGCAGCTCTGAGGTTCTGTGTGTCTATATGTCTGTGTGTGTGTGTCTCTGGGTCGCTGCCTCGCTGTGTGTGTCTCGCTCTGCCTTGGCGGGGAGGGGATTGGTCACGCATGACTCATCTTGAACCGAGCGGGGCTCCAGCGGCAGGGCGGCCGCCGCCGCAGCTGGAGGGGGAGGAGGGCGAGGAGGAGGGAGAGGAGGAGGAGGAGGAGGAGGAGGAGGAGGAGGAGGAGGAGGAGGAGGAGGACTACCAGGAGGGGGAGGCGGAGGAGAAGGAGGGGGCGGGGGCCTCTCCAAGTTTGTCGGGACCTTCTTCCGAGGCAGCAGCGGCTGCAGCCAGGGAGGCCGGGGCTGCGCGCGGGCCGGGGGCGGGGGCTGGGGCCGGGCCCGGGGCGGCGGGGCCGGCGCCTCGGCTCTTCTCCAGCTCCTGCTTCAGCCTCTGCTCCCGCTGCGGCCGTGGCCCCTCGCGGCGCGGCTCTCCGCGCTGCGTGCCCGCCGAGCCCGCCGCTCCCCGGCCCATGTACTGGAAGCATGAGAGCGCCGCCCCGGCGCTGCCCGAGGGCTGCCGGCTGCCGGCCGAGGGCGGCCCCGCCACCGACCAGGTGAGCGAGCGAGCGGGCGAGCGGGCGAGCGGCCCGGGCCACCGGCGTCGGGCAGGGGCCGGGACCCCGCCGGGCCGGGCCGGGTGGCGGGCGGCCGCGGGGAGGAGGGGTTCGGGGGTGCGCCTGTGAGTGTGTGTATGTGAGTGTGTGAGCGCGCGCGAGCGCGGAGGGGGGGGTCGCGGAAAGCGGGAACACATTATGCAAATGTTGGAGGAATTTCTCAAAAAGCGATTTAGCAAAGACACAGGCGAATCAAGAGGAGGCGAGGCGGGTATTGTCCGTCTGAATAGGCGCTGATAGCGCCGATGCGCCGGGGGTTGTGCTGGCGCAACGCTGAGAATCCCGACGCGGGGCCGGTCCCGGGCGCGCCGAGGGGCTGGAGGGTGCTTTTTCCTCTTCTTGGACGCCTCCGTTTTCTCTTTTTGGTGCCATTTCCCCCGGACCTCGCCCCCATTTTGCTCGGGGTTTCCCTCGGACTGGCCCTCGAAAGGCGCCTGAATTCGTGTCACTATCGCGGCATCAATTTCGCGGCGCGCGCTGGGCTTGCGGGCTGATGCTCCCAGCGCTCCGGGTTTTATTTTCCTCGAACGCCCCCCCCCCCCCTCCACCCATCTCCTTTTTATTTTCTTTCTCTCTTTTCTCCTTGTTGCATTTTGTGTCGAGAGGAGGAGAAGGGAGCGAGGAAGGGGGGTGGGTGGAGGGAGAAAAAATTCGATTTTTAATTACTACCATTAAAAAATCAAATTTGCAATTCTTTGGGCGGCCTGATGGATCTCACTGATTGACAGTTGGAATTGACACTCTGGCTACCTCTTATCTTGGGCATTCACGACAATTTCTAATTGCAGGTAGTTTGTGTGTGTGCGCGTGTTTTTTCCCCCCTCAGAGGCTTGGATTGCAAGGGAACTAAGCGATTACTTCAAGAGCCACGGGTTAAGTGCAGGGAGAGGGGGAGAGAGAGGGAAAAAATCCAATCCAAATTCAAATTGCTTCATTAGAGAGACACCGCTTTTGTGGGGAAGGGCTTTAAATGCCCACTACAAAGTTAAGACTCATTGTTCCGCGCCCGTTTATATAACAGGCGCGGGGAGGCGCTGGGCTCAGGCTGCGCGGAGCCAGTTAGTTGTGCAGCCGCCGCCGCCTGAGTTCCCTCCCCCTCCCCCAGGTGATGGCCCAGCCAGGGTCCGGCTGCAAAGCGACCACCCGCTGTCTTGAAGGCACCGCGCCGCCCGCCATGGTGAGTTCGTTCGGCCCTGCCTTCGCTCCCCCGTCCGCCGGCTGCCCGGCCCTTGGGGACCTTGACCGGCTTTCCGGCCCCGAACCGCTGTCCATGCGCCGGGGGACTGCGGGAAGGCGCCGCCCCTCTCTGCGCCTCGGTTTTCCGGCAGGAAATGTAGACTTTAACCGTCCCCAGCACCCAGGACGCGCGGGTTGAAAGTTGGGGCCGTCCCTTCCTCTGCAGTAGGCCCTTCCATTCCTATCCTGTAGCCCGCGGAACGGCGTGTCGGGAGAATTTCGTTGTCAGTTGATGCGCTGGGGCCCCAGATCTCTCTCCGAGCTGGGCGCTCAGCTCAGCGCGCCGTTCTCCCTGTCTCCCCGCCTGCAGGCTCAGTCGGACGCCGAGGCCCTGGCAGGCGCTCTGGACAAGGACGAGGGCCGGGCCTCCCCCTGTACACCCAGCACGCCATCCGTCTGCTCACCGCCTTCTGCCGCTTCCTCCGTGCCGTCCGCCGGCAAGAACATCTGCTCCAGCTGCGGCCTTGAGATCCTGGACCGGTACCTGCTCAAGGTGAGACCGGGGCGGGGTGTTGCGTGTGTGTCGGCGGGGTGTGGGTTGCATCCCTGAAGACCGCAACGCCGGCGCCAGGTCCACTACATTCCTAATCCTGGCTCAGGCGCTGCCTGACTGGGCGGCTTTGGGCAAATCTTAGAGTCTCTCCGCACCCCCGGGTTTCCGTCTGAAAAATGGGAAGAGTGTAATTCTACCTTACAGCGGAAAAGTGGGGAAGTCCTACACACCTTCAGACCTCCAGCTACAGTATCTGCAAATGGGGCCGGGGAGGCTGGGGCCCGGCGTGAAAAGAGGCGCGCTCTGAGCCGTCCCCCACCTCCGCCCCCTCCCCAGGTCAACAACCTCATCTGGCACGTGCGGTGCCTCGAGTGCTCCGTGTGTCGCACGTCGCTGAGGCAGCAGAACAGCTGCTACATCAAGAACAAGGAAATCTTCTGCAAGATGGACTACTTCAGGTAGGCTGCGGCCGCTGGGCCAGCAGTGTCGCCGCAGGCAGGCCCCCCCCCACCCACCCCCCCGCGGCGCGCGCGGAGGACGCCTTGGCGGCGCGCGGTCTCTGGCGCCCAAGCCCCGACCCCCAGCGCACTCCCGGCGCAGCCCGCCCGCTCTCAGCGCCCCGAACGAGGAGCTCCAGGCAGCGCGCGGGGGCCGGCCCAGGTCCCGGCCCGCGACCCGCCTCCGGTTCCTGCGGCCCACTCGGTTTGGGTCGCGTCTCTGGCTCCGTCTCGGGGCTTGCAGAGTGTCTGGCTCCAGTTCCAACCTCAAGCGCCTGGGCCGAGCTCGGACATCCCGGGCTCCGGCCCCGACCCGCTCGGATCCCAGCCGCGATCTGGCTACGCCTCCAGAGCGCTCCAGCTCCGGGCTCCAACCCCGCTCGGACTGCAGCCGTGCCCGCGTCTCTCCCGGCCGACCCCGAGCTGGGCTCCAGGCCCCTGCTGCGGCTCTGCCCTGGACTCCTCCGTGGGTCTGGGTCTGGCCAGGCCCCAAGCACTAGCCTCGCAGCTCTCAGATCCCGGCCCACATCCAAACGCTTCGTCTTAAGCCCCAACCTCTCCGGCTCCGCCTCAACTCAGACCCCGGCGTCGCTCGAGTGTCGCATTGGGAGTCTGGAATCCTGCCCGGGTCCCGGGGCGCCTGTTTCAGTCTCCGTTCCGTCGTCGTTTCGGTCTCGGGCTTCAGCCTCTGCCGGGTCCAGGCTCTGACGCTGAGCCGCCGCTCGCTGGGACAGGAAGGGGGAGAGTCGGGCCCAGCCACCAGGGCCGCCGAGTAGGGTTACCCTGGGCTGGGCTCTCCGCGCTGCAGAGCCGCGGCCCTGCAGCTCTCGACAGCAAGCCAGGCTCACCCTCCCGCCGCGCCGCCGCGTCTCCGGCCGCCTGCGAGCGCCGGGCTCCTAACGGCGCGCTCAGGCCTGACCTGGTCACGGGGTCGAGGTCACCGCGAGGTCAGGGGCACAGCGGGCCGCTTGGCCTGATGCTGGCGGGAAGCGTGAACCTGACCTGAGGCCGGGCCACCAGGCCTACAAGAGTCTGGGAGAGCAGAGAGGGACCGGTTCTTGGGAGGGATGCTTGTTCCCAAGGGCTTCATCAGGAAGTGGAGAAAGCTACTCCCCTGTTACCACCCGGTAACCCACAGACGTCCTTCCCATCCTAGCCTCTGCAGAGGTCATGGCTTCAGTCTTCCTAGAAAGACCCCTGGCCCGGATAGTCAAGGAAAGGGGGTGGGAAGGTAATGCCTGCCCCCTTACCTCTGGCTTGGAGTCTCCTGGCACTTGGAAAGAGAGGATCTTGAGTCTAGGGTGAAGCTTGCAGTGTTTGGGGCTGGAGTACTCTGGGGAAACCATAGGAAGGATGGTTTCAGAAGTGGACTCTCCCTTCTTTTGTGTATGGATGTGAAAGATTGTGCACCTGGGGTGTGCATGGGGAGAGGGGGATCTAGCGGGTGGCCTGGGACTCAACATGCAAGGAGCGTCTGAGTGTCTGTGCGGTAGCACTGGACGAATGTGTCACCGAACAAGGTCAGGGGTACGAAGCCAGTGTGTACATTCCTTTATGACAAGTATTTGTCTTTCAGTTTATGTGTGAGCATCAGGAGTGTAGGTCTCCGTGTGAATGTTGGGACTTTGTGTGTGTGTGTGTGTGTGTGTGTGCGTGCATGTGTGCAAGGTAGTGGGGACAAGATTATGTCTGGACAGGGACCCAGAGGTGACAGGGTGAGAATTCTGAAATCCCGTCTTTCCTACCCCACTTCTCCTCTGAGGGGACATTCCTGCTGAAGGCCTTAGCCCTGGCATTGAGGAGCCACGGGTGTGATGTGAATGTGGATTTGTGGATGTGGACTGCCACATGTGTGCGTCAGAGGGGGTTACCATCGCGTAGTGGGTATGTCTTTCTCCACTGTCCCATCTGACTATTGGCTGGCCAGGGCAGGAAATGGAGGTTAGAGTCCTTGTCTTGCCACCTCCCTGTTCTATGCCTGCCTCCGTTTGGTACAAAACAAAACAAACAAGAAAACCCCAAAAGCAAGCAGCTGCTGTTTTAGGGCTCATTGGGCTCATCAGCTAGCCAGGGACAGGGCTCCAGCCTGAGGAACCCAGGAGGATGGTATGTCGGCCTCCTTCTGCGGAGTAAGGCAGGGCTAGACCCCTCTCCTGGCCCTCCTGATGACAGTGGACCTGGCAGCTTCCTCCCTGCTTCCCCAGCCTCAGCTCATGCCCAGGCTGGACGGAGCCTTCTTGGATGCTGTGCTTTACTAGACCTTCAAGGATTAGTCAAAACTGAGATCCTGATCCCACTGTTCGGAGCCTCACTAGCTCTGGGGTCCCCCTTCCCACTGCGGTGGGGTGGAGGATGGGGGGGTGTAGCTATTATGGGGACAGGCAGTAATTGGGCTCTATCAAGCCAACACTGAATCACTGTGTGACCTTGGGCAAGTGACTACATCTCTCTGCCCTCAGTGTCCTACTTCCAGGGTTGTCTGTCTGAGCTGCCAAAGAGGCCAGTGTAGGGAGGAAGGCTCTGTAGAGTCTCCCTAAATGGAAGGTGCTATGGATGCCTTGATCGTCACCATTATCCTGCTTGGCAGAGTGGATGCTGGGCACAGTCCCCTGATGGCATTTCCACCGACAGTTTGAGGAGCAGGGCTTGCCTGGAGGGATGGGGCCAGGCCATTTCTAGGCGGCAGGTTCTGAGCGCTAATCCTTTTCCAGTGACAAAAGCCCCAAAAGCAAAACTAAAACAGATTTTTGGTTAAGAAAATGGACGGGATAAAAGCTTACATTCCCTGGAATGAGGGAAGAATTGTGGCTGTCCTGATCATTTCTTCCCCAGCCAGGTCTCCATGCAGGCATAACCCATCCCTGGCAGCCCCACCTGTAACAAAAATGGTAAAACCCACAAAAAGGGAAAGAAAAAGCCGCTGCGGAGCGCCCGGCAGGGACTATTGTCTGCTCTCAGGATCAGCCCAGGCTCTGGGTGGCTGTCACAAAGGAGCTTTTCCTGGGGAGAGCATGAATGCTGGCGTGGGTGACAGAGGTCCCCCTCAAGAGCTGGGGCTCCCGCAGAGGCCATGCACCGAGTTTCTCTAGCCCTGTTTCCTGAAGCCCAAGGTCAAGCGTCTGGTGGGATATGGACTGGAGCATTCTGCCCTAGGAGAGGCGAAGATCTCCCAGTAGGGCTGGGGGAGGAAGGAAGTGGCCAAGACCTCATGGGGGGGGGCGTGGGGGGTCTTCCATGGTCCTCTGGCCTCTGGTCTTATCCCTCAGAGAAGGGTTTCTCCTCTGCTCCATCCCTCTTCTTGCCTCTTCTTGACACCGTCCTAGAGACCCACAGTCTTCCTTGGCCGAGCCTGGTGTTGGTGGCTCAGGAAGTTAGGAGTTAGGAAGGCCCTCCAAACTCACCAGGGAGGGAGGCTTCAGAGGAAGGGGCAGGGAGGGGGGGGAATGCCCTTGGCAAGACTGCTCAGCCTCTCTGCTTCAGTTTCTCCAACTCTCCTTCCAAGGAGGGACCTCACCAGCCCCTGTGGGTTCAACCAGATTCCTAGTAACCCTCACTCCCTGAGTCCTAGCAAACCACCAGGGAAAATATGATATTGCTTTTAATTTCTTTGCTTTTTCGGTTAAGACCATTTTTCTTTCTATTTTCTTCCAAGAAGTGAAGAAAAGTCCTGGGGGGAAAATAGTGTTCCTTTCTGGGCCCTTCATATCTCCACTGCCCTCAGCAACCACAGCCTCAGACAGCTTCTTCCCACCCACTGACCTGCAGCTGCTGCCCCCCCCCCCAGTGGGGCATGGACTGATCTGCTGTGCCTCCTCATTCAACCCCCCAAGCATCATGCCCATTGTATGGTTGGGGAGACTGATGCCCTGGGGGAGAGGGAAGTGGAGCCCAGGGTCACTCGGTGAGAGAGTGTAAGAGGGGCTGGACAGGGGTGAGGATACTGTGCACCAGAATGTACAGAGCTCTTCTCAAGCCCCGAACTGCGTTAACTCGTGACATGCTCTATCTCATTGAATCCTCAGGTCCACCCTGTGATTACCATACTGTCATAATCCCCACATTATAGGAGGGGAAACTGAGGTCCTCAGAGGTGAGGTCACGCAGCTAGTAAGTGGCAGAGCCTGGGTAAGCCCCATGGCCACATGACTCCACCATCCCTGTGTCTAAAACACTCAGTACTGTTCTTTTATAGGTGAGATATGTCAGCCGCAGCTCTCTACAAGGTGAGGTCGTGGAATGGCAAAGACCCCTCTCTCCTGGCCCTGAGATCCCCTGCCCAGTTTCATTGGCTTCATACAAGGAGCACCAGCTGGGTGCTCTGGTGTGTGACTCTTCCTGGGTGGGCCCTGGGACCACTAGGACAGGAGTGACCTCCTCAGAGGCTGTGACTAGATCAACTTTGCCAGGATCAGGTCACCATGGTCCCTGGCCCTCTTGCCTTCTGCCCATTGGAGTGGGGAGTAAAGGGTTAACTACTGCTCCTGGCGTTGATACGGGTGGGGTTCAGAGTGTCCTGGGCTGGGCCACTGGGCAGCCGGCTTAAGTTCCTGTCCTTTGCTTGGCCCATGTGACTTAGGGCAAGCCCTCAGCCTTCTCTGGCCTTCCTCCTAGAGCCCAAGCTCCAACTGCGGGCTCCAGCGGGAGAACCCCACCCCTCCCCCAGAGCGAGGGTCCCCAGGGAGGCCCAGAGCTGGGAAGCGGCCCCCCACCGCGGCAGAGAGCGGCCCAGCGGCCGCCAGCTGTTGGGGGACAGATGTTGGGGGAGCGGAGAGAGGAGTTCTGGGGAGGGGCCTCGGGCCGGGACCTCCGAGGCGCGGGGCGTTTTAACCTCATAATTGCTGGTTCTGTTTTTTTCTGGCTTCTTCTCCTAAGAGTTTGCCTAGAAAAGAAGGAACAGAGGGGATAGGAAGGGCTCCACCTCCAGTCCACCTTGTTGGCCTCTTAGAATCTCTCTAAGGCCATCAAGTGAGTGTTCTGGACGCAAAATACATGAATGTTGGTTTGAGTTTCCAAACCGACTCTCCAGCTTCCCATCCAGAGCTTCGGGTATCTTAATAAGGGGGAAAGGAGTCGTAGTGAAACTCTGAAAGCCTCTTTCGTTGAGGCTCATTCATCTAACAAATAATGACTGAACACCAACTCGGTACCCAGAGGAAGTAGGCCAGGAGAGTGAGCTTGACCTGGTCAAGGGCGCACAGCTCCCTCCGCACAACCACGAGTACCTAGATGTCTCTGTTCCCTACTCAGGGGGGAGAGGTTAAGGAGATACACATGGCCACCCCACTCCTTTCAGCAGCTGCCAGGATGCGCAGCGTCTGTCAAACACCTCTCCACGCCCAGAGCGTGTCTGTCCTTTGCGCCTTTACCCCACGGCGCGCGCCGGGATCCAGGGAGGGGCGCGCACAAGGCTGGGGGTGGAGGGCGGTAGCCGCGCCCCCTAATCCCTTTGGCGCTCCCTTCGCAGCTCCCGAACACCCCATTCTTGAAGTTTCGTTGTCTCGCCGCCGATTTCGCTGCTTCCGGAATCCGGCGGCTCGGGCCTCGCAGCCCGCCTGGGAAGGAGTCTATCGGTTTGTCAGAGAGCCTCGATCCGTAAGCCTCCTCGTGCCCCCTTGTTTGTGCCACTGACCCCTGCCCTGGGTGGAGGATACGTTTCAGAAGCGGCCCGCAAACGCATCCAAAACTGCATAATGACCCCCCTCAGCCCCATCCAAGAATCCATCGCAAAGGTGATTTCGTTGACGGGGAGGAACCACGGCGAGCGCGGGGAGATCCTACGGCTGGGGACAGCTCTTGTCATTTGGGGTGACATGTGGAGGGTGAGAAAGTTGCTGAGAGACCACTCGCGGGGTCCGCTTGGGAGCAAGGAGTGTACGATTACAGTGTAGGCGCAGAAGGCGCCGGGGCGTCTCGGGCGTGTGGAGCGGGAAGATCAGGGGTGCGCGGGGTGTCTTGGACTCATCTCTGGCAAAGGACAAGGAATCTGGCACAGCCGCGCGCGAGGATCCGGGTCGTGTACTCTGGCGCAGCTCACGGGTCGTGGCGCACGGAGACGACCGGTTGGAGACGCGGTCGCTCTCACCTGGCCTCTGAAGGCCAGGACCTTCCCTTCCCCGGCTCTCCCCTCTCCCTGGGAACGCACTCCCCGCCTTCCGGAGTCCGCTGGGCCTCAGGCCCTAGGCCCGGGACTTTCCGGGACCCGGGGCTGGGAGTCGGGACGCGTCGGGGTCAGACCAGGCCCGTTTCCAGTTAATACACCTGAGATCCAGCCCTAATCATCTCCCGCCCAGCTGCTTCCGCAGGTTTCTAGGTTCCTTTTGCACTTCAGATAGGACCTTGACCTCAAGCCCCACGCTCTTTGTGGTCTTGGGCAAGTCACTTGTCCTCTCTGAACCTCCGATTCCACGTGTGCAAAATGCGCGCCAGTCTCCGCCTCACGCGGTTGCGCGAAGCCGAGGGTGTGCAATGAAGACGTTGCGCCCCGGGACCCTGGGTCGCTCTATCTGCTCTGCACTCGACTGGCCGCTCCCTCCTCTCCAAGGCCAGAAAGTGCTCCTAAACGGCGCACTAGCGGTGGGGCAGCGGAACCCCGGGTCCGCCCTTAGGCGAGAGTAGGCAGGGGTGGGCTAAGAGGTTTCCTCTCCCCGTTACTGAGAGATTGGGAAAGAAACCACGGGCTGTGCTAGGCTGTCCCCTGGGGAAGCCGAGTTTCCGAGGTTCGGAACCGCCTCGGTTTGGGGGGCAGTTGACCCAGCAGAGGCGCGCAGCACAGCCCGACTGAGCAAACCGCGCCGCCAGCGACAGGGTCCCCTTGCGCTCCTGGTCAGAGACCGTGGCGTTGGAGTTACGTCTGGAGCCGGGGCGGGCCAAGGCCTCCGCGCGCTCCCGCACTCGGTTTAAACCAAGACTGTTTACTCAGTTGACAGTTGCTTGCCTTTGCCAAGGCAGGCGAGGCTGTAACCAGAGCGCCTTTGCTCAACTGGTTTCTGCATACATTCACAGGCATTTCCGAGTGCTCCTCGGGGTGGAAGTGTGCCGGCCCTGGGGACACAGAGGCAGATCTTCTTGGTCCTCTCCCAGGAATACAGGGGGTGGGAGGGAGAGCCGAAGAATCTGACCTTTACAAACCCGCCTGACCCATGCTGCCAGACTGGTGCTGGAACCGGGGGACTCGGCAGGGGGGCGGTGTGCGATGAGCGCTGTCTGTGCATAGGCCTGGGCTGGGAAGGTGCTTCAGAGGGGGCCATAGAGACCTGGCACTGACCTTCCCTCCTGGCTGCCTGGGACTCCTGCTGGGGTGTGGGTGGGGAAAGTTAGGGAGGAGATGAGTCTAAGAGGTTGTGGTCCGCCAGGCTTTGTAAATGCCAAAGATCTTGGATCAGATCCCGAGGGTTGAGTGGAGTCACCAAAGGATTTTAAGCAGGGCAGGACAGGATTCACTGCGCATGCTGGGAACTCTGCTGTGGCCACTGTGTGGAGGAACGGCTGTTGGCCGGGGTGGCGCTGGCAACAGGCCGAGCAGGGCAGATTCTGGCCTAGGAGGGCAGCTGTGGCCCTGGGGAGGACAGGGATCCCAAAGATACTTAGGAGAAAGAACCAACAATGCCAGGTGATTGGCTAGATGTGGGGTTGAAGAGAGGGAGGAGTGCATGATTTAGATTTCTAAGCTTGAGGGGCTGGGTGAGTGGCGGCATCATTCCCTGAAATAGAGTGGGCACCAGAGGAAACTGAGGGTTGGGACAGGGTCACCGAATGAGTCATCTACTTAAAGAAAAACCTTCCCTGGTGCTCAGGGGTCAGGCCTTGTGCTGACTTCTGGGACTGGGTAAACCAGACTCTACAGCTTCCTGGAGGGCCTCCCAGTGGGCTAGTGGAGGCAGGCACACCCAAATAGCCAGGCTACAAGGCAGGGGGTGGGTGGGTGGGGGGAGATGGGGAAAAGGTCCAACAAGGAAGGCTTAAGGGGGAGGGGACATTTGATCTGGGCCTTTTGTTTGTTTGTTTGTCTTTTTAACATTTCCTGTTAGAATGTCCTGGGGCTCCGGAGTCTGGGACTGGCTGGGTACTTAATAGACTGCAAAGTACTAAGAAGCAGTCTCTGCCGTGGTCACCTAGCTCAGCTCAGGGCAGGGAAAGTGAGAACTCAGAGGGGTTAAACAATTTGCTCAAGGGCACAAAGCCAGTAAGTACACATCCATCTATGCTCCCAAGAAACACTGAGCATCTCTACCGCTGGGGTACAGTTTATTCGTCTTGGGTTTCTACCCTTGCAAGCTGTGTGACCTTGTGCAAGTTACTTTAACTCTCTGGTCCCCATTTTCCTCATCTGCGAAATGAAGATTAATTGAGATAATCAACATAAAACACTTAGAATCTTGCTGGGCATGTGGTAAGTGCTCAAAAACTTGCATGTTATTATGTTATATATTTTCCCTAGCACGATATATTTTAATGAACAGATTAGTTATCTACGAATGTAAGGGACCATTGTAGAAAATTTGGAAAACTCAGAAAAGCACCAAGAAGAAAATAAAAACCACCCACCAGCTCACCTTCTCAGAGTGAAGGTGAGCTGGTGTCTGCAGGGGTGTGGAGTACTGGGCGGATCCAGGCAAAGGGAAATTTGTGGGTGAACAAAGGCCAGGAGGCAGGGTGCTGGCGGGCCACTGGGATTTGGAGGGGGAAGGGGGAGCCTGTCTGAGCCTCGCCACCCCCCTTTCCTGTCCCGGTGTCCCGCAGCCGATTTGGGACCAAGTGTGCACGGTGCGGTCGACAGATCTATGCCAGCGACTGGGTGCGGCGGGCACGCGGCAATGCCTACCATTTGGCCTGCTTCGCTTGCTTTTCGTGCAAGCGCCAGCTGTCCACGGGCGAGGAGTTTGGCCTGGTCGAGGAGAAGGTGCTGTGCCGCATCCACTACGACACCATGATCGAGAACCTCAAGAGGGCCGCCGAGAACGGTACCCAACCCGCCCCGCCCAGCACCCTGCCACACCTCTGTGCCCAGCCCTCTCCCCCCCGCCCCCCAGCACCGCAGGAACTGACCACACTCCTCTAGGAGCAGGCGCTCCGTGGACCACCCGGAGACCGCCTAGGTGTGGGGCTGCACACACGGAGCATGTGCTTTGGGCTCCATCCTTTGCTGGGGAGTAGGAAGTCACAGTCTGTCTCGGCAGATGTTTCCTCATCTGTAAAATGGAGCTAATGATAAGACACCTTCACAAAGACGGATGAGCTGATGTGTTGTAAAGCCAGGAGACACTCAATGAACCCTAGAGATGATTCTCATAATGGGGCAGCCTACTCCACCTTTGGCTAGTTCTGGTTGGCCTGAGGACTCAGGCCCTCCTGCTGCCTGCACCTGACCATGGGCCAGTCCTGGAGAGATGGTTCCACTCTATTCTCCCAACTCCTCTGCCAGCAACTCCAAGCCAGAGGTTTGGGGCTGGGGGGTATCATCCTGGACTGTAAGGAAAAAGGCCTTTCAGTCTGGAGACATGAGCTCCAGTTTTGCTTCTGGGAAACATATGAAGTTTCCTTTCTTCTCTGGGCCTCAGTCTCCCCGTCTGTGCAAGATAGACGGTCAACTAGAAAGATTCCTAAATCTCTTCTGGCTCCAATACTGTGTCTCCCCAAGACACAGAGGCCAGCAGACAGGGTTCACATCTTCCGGAGACTGTGAGGATTGAGTCACAGGTGGGTTGGTGGTTAAAAGGGGTAAGAATGGAAGTTGGGCTGAGGACAGAGTCAGGGACCCTTTTCCATACTTTTCCTGCCTGGGTCTTTGGGAGCTGCTAACTTCTCTGTAATGTGGATTATTTTGTGCAATCCTTACAAAAACCCCAAGAAGTAGCTGATGTGTCCCCATTTTACAGATGAGGAAACATGCAGAGGTTATCTGCAGTATGTGATTTGCCAAAGGTTACATACTAGCAATTGGCTTGACTCCAAAGCCCAGGCTTTTAACCACCATACCATACCAACCCCTTCCCAAGCTCCAGGGACTCTTAATCAGACCTCATTAAACAAGGGAGGCTGCTGGGATGTGGCCGCCCCTCTAAGTTTCATTTAACCATTGAAAAAAATGGCACACCAATCCTTGTCCTGCCTGCTTTCCCAGGGGGATATTAATACCACAAAGTGTCTTTCCCATCCTCAGGGCCTCTCTGGAGGATATGGACCACCCGACCTCAGTTCCTAGCCTGGGAACTAGTCAGGAATTTCTAGAGTGTTCCAGACCATGGCCACACCAAGGTCATCACTTTCTCCTGCCAGGATCAGGACTAAGTGACCTAGGTGGGAAGCAAGTGAGGCTCAGGTTGTATGAAGTTACCTGCAGTGGTGGCCAAATCATCAGTGGTACTGGGATGGAATCCCAGGAGTCAAGGCTCCCTCTATACCATGGCCCATCAGTGACCCCCTTCCATATCTGGACCAATCAGGACCATCCCTAGCCACAGCCTTGCCAGTTATAACTCTCTCTCTCGCCTCTAGGCCAACCCCAGACTCCTACCATGCAGGGGAGCTTGAAGGCTTGGGGCCTCAGATCTCCTTTAGTGAGCAGCCCTCAGTGGAGTTTACTGTTTTACTCTTATTTTATTTTATTATTTTTTAAAGCATTTTATTTATTTTTAAAGATTTTATTGATTTATTTGACAGAGAGAGAGACAGCGAGAGAGGGAACACAAGCAGGGGGAGTGAGAGAGGGAGAAGCAGGCTTCCCGCTGAGCAGGGAGCCCAATGCCGGGCTCGATCCCAGGACTGGGATCATGACCTGAGCTGAAGGCAGATGCTTCACCGACTGAGCCACCCAGGCGTCCCTTTACTCTTATTTTATTTATTTATTTATTTATTTATTTATTTATTTATTTATTTATTTATTTATTATTTTTTCAATTTTAAGTAGGCTCCATGCCTAACGTGGGGCTTCAACTCAAGACCCTGAGCTCAAGAGTCACATGCCCTACCAACTGAGGCAGCCAGGTGCCCCTGCTGTTTTACTTTGAAGCTTAAACACACACCCTTCCATCATAGAAAACTTAGGAAAGATGGTTAAGCAAAAAGAAGAAAATAAAAATCACTCTAAACGTTACCACCTCTCATATCTTCCCAGATTTTTTTCTCTGTATGTATGGTGCCATGTTAGTTTGGTCCCCCTCCGCCCCGCCAACATAGCGTTTTTCCTAATTAAAAACAAAAAAATAATAATACAACTAATTGTGAACCGTGGTGGAATTACTGGTGATTTTTATTTTCTTCTTTGTGCTTATCTGAATTTTCTGAGTTTTTGCTAAGGAGCATGTATTACCTAGAAAAAATAAAATGGGAATGTATTTAGTGTGATTGTAAAAGTAATATAAGTGGAAAGAGAATGGCTAACATATGCTCCAGTTAACAAAATTAAACCTTAGAGAAATAAAGTGACATATGATTGCTGTAAAAACCTCAAAAGTTACAGAAATATTGAAAGTAGTCTCCATAAGTGCACTCCTTAGAAGTAACCACTGCTAGCACCTAGGTGTATATCCTTTCAACCTTTTTGCTTCCATCCATTTTTACAAAATTAGAATCACAGTTCTGTAACCTGCTTCCATCTTACCTCCACCAGCCTTTGGTTTCCCTGGCTTAGCTAAGAGGGAGTCCAGTTTGGGGCACTAGGGTCAGCCAGCTGTAAGCCACTAGGTGAGAAAGGTCCTGGGCAGGGACTTTCTTCTCTTTGAGCCTCAGTTTCTTTCCTCTGCTGTAAAATGGGGCTGTGACCCAGACACAAAGGACACACCGAAAGAGCAGTGTCTGGTACTGAGCAAACGCTCAGAAATGACAGCCCCTTTTCTAAAAGACAGAGCTCAGGGACTACGACTCTGGGATCCCCGCTCCCAGCCAACTCCGCTCCTGACCCTTCCAGGGACCAGCTGCCCCCACCCCCGTCCTTTCCAGGATGCCACTAGAAGAGATGGGGACGCGTGGTCAGCCACTTCTGTCACCCCCAGGGAACGGCCTCACGCTGGAGGGGGCAGTGCCCTCGGAACAGGACAGTCAGCCCAAACCGGCCAAGCGCGCGCGGACATCCTTCACCGCCGAGCAGTTGCAGGTACCCGGCCAGGCTGCGAGTGGCCGGGGGTGTGGGCGGGCCCTGGAGGTAGGCGGGGCCGAGAGAGCCTCTGGCTCCGCCCCTTCTGCCCGGGCCCGCGGGTGGCGGGGAGGGGCCGTAGCTGTCTGGGGCGTGGCCTCCGGGCCGGATCCTCTCTGATTGGGCCGGGGTCTGGGAGACCTCGGCGCGTTCTTGCCTCACTACCCCTTTTACTCCCCGCAGGTTATGCAGGCGCAGTTCGCGCAGGACAACAACCCCGACGCACAGACGCTGCAGAAGCTTGCGGACATGACGGGCCTCAGCCGCAGGGTCATCCAGGTGGGGCCGAGGGAGGGCGGGGCCTTCGGGTCGGGGCGGGGCCTTCGGGTCGGGGGCGGGCCCTCCACCGCGGGCGGGGCTCGGGAGCCGCAGGCCCGGGCGCACGTGGCCGCCATTACGCGCGAGGCGACGAAGCAGTCCGGCTCGGGGGCTCCCGGCGGCGCGTCCAGCCCTTTTCCGCAAGGCTGAGGCTGCTGAGGCTGTCGTTCCAGGTGTGGTTTCAAAACTGCCGGGCGCGTCATAAAAAGCACACACCACAGCATCCCGTGCCGCCCTCCGGGGGGCCGCCGTCCCGCCTCCCTTCCGCCCTGTCCGACGACATCCACTACTCCCCGTTCAGCAGCCCCGAGCGGGCGCGCATGGTCACCCTGCACGGCTACATCGAGAGTAAGTGACCTCAACTCCTAGGCCGCCGGGCCTACGGGCGAGGGGGGCGCGCAGGAGCGCGCGCAGGAGGAGGAGGCGTGGGGAGGCCTTTCGGATCCCGGTGGGTGAAGACGTGGGGTCTGCAGCCCCTCGGACTTAGGGGTTGGGGAGAGGGGCTAAATTCCCGGTCTCGGCCTTACTGAGACGGGACCCTTCGTAGAGAAAAGCCCTACGGCTTGGAAATACTTTCCAAGTACCCACTGTGAGCGCCAGGGCCCAGGGACTAAGGAGAGAACAGGATGGGTAAAGTCTTTGTGTTTTGGTGGGAGAGAAAACGTGGCACGATAACCAGACAGATGAGAGCATGGTTTTAATCGTGATGATTGCTATAGGAAAGGAGCTGGATGCAAGCTTGTGGAGATGCCGCCTCTCAGCAAGCTGAGACTGCAGGGATGGATAGGAATTAGTGAGACACAAGGAGAGGGGAGGTAGGAGTGCAGGGCAGCAGAGGAGCTGAATGCAGGCAGGCCATAGCCCAGAAAGCATTGTGGCATGGGTGTGTTTGGGGTTGTAGGAGAAGGCCAGAGTATCCCAGCTGGGAGGCTGTGGGCAAATTACCTACCCTCCTTGAATCTCAGTATCCTCATCTGTAAACTGGGACATTAATAATGCCTACTTCACAGGGCTGTGAGAATCCACTCATGTGTACAGTAAATACTCTTTGAGCGTCTTCCATGCTAAGCACTGGAATGCAATGGAAAACACAACAGACCAAAGTCTGTGTGCTCCTGGGGCTCACATTCCAGAGTGGGACATGGGTGGAGAGACAACTAATAAAGGAAGGAGGGGATGGCATGTCAGTGGGACTGGATGCCATGGGGGTGATGGAATGGGTCGTGGTGGAGTGACCTTTGAGTAGGAACCTGGAGGAGAGAGGGAGGTAGCCTCGTGGATTTCTGGGGGGAATGAACATTCAGTGAATCTGCTATTGAGCAGGTGCTTTTTACGGATTTTCATTCCCTTTGGGCTTGTTTGTTTCCTCAAAGCTGGGTGTGACCACAACATACCCATAAACATGAGTCCTCCCTTCTCGGGCTCCAAGTAAAAGGGAAAGAGAAGGGGGAGGGTCAGAGAGAGCCCTGCTGTTCACTGAGTGCCTGCCATGGGCCAGACACTATACTAAGCATATGTGTAAACATCAGACATCACTATCTCATTGTACAGATGAGGAAACCAAGGGTCCACAGTAATGGGAGCCAGTATTCCTTAATGGTTGGCTGTGGGCTTTGGGGTGAGACCGTCGGGCTTCTGATCTCAGCCCTGCCGCTTACTACATCGGGCAAGCTTCTTAGCTTCCCTGAAAACCAATTTCCTCATCTGTAAAAATGAGGACAATAAGAATACTTCTCTCAGAGCTGTGTGTGAGCATCAGATGAGATCACTGACATCAAGTCTCCAGCATTCAGTCGATGCTGGAGAAGTATTAGCTGCTCTCGTTATGGTGGTGGTTCTGGCTGGTACAGCTGGCTGTGCGGAATCCTGCCGATTACACCAGGCAGCCAGTTGGAAACCACGTCTCTTTGCACTGTTTCTTTTCTGAACCATCTGCTCTGGAGGAGGGACTTTTCTTCCTTTCTTTCCTAAACAATGACTTAACGTTCAGGCCGCACAGAGCCCACTGAACGTCTAGTTCGTCTGTTAAAGGTGCCAAGGACCAGGGACTCTCTAGGTGCCAGGAGTCCGGGCTGCCAGCTCGCACTTGCTGTGGAGTTGGTAATGGGTCTTGGTGACCCTTTTGGGAGTGGGGCCACGGCCTCCAGAGTCATTCCCCAGGACTCTACCCACAGACTTTGTCGATGAAGCCTAGATGTGTCTTGGATGCTCAGAGAAGGGGCTGAGGGTGCCCTTTCCGCTTCCCCTTGAGGTGGAATCCAGCGTGGGGCAGGAAGTGTTGAGGGTGTTTGGACCTGCTGCCTCTGGCTGCAGGACTGAAGGACACCTCAGCAGTTTGCTTTGCAGTTAACTAAAATCACATGATTCTGAGTTTCCTGGGGCCTTAGAGCTTGGAATCCGATAAAAAGCTTTGGAACCAGACCCCAGAAAGATGCACATGCACACATAATTTTCAGTGTGAATCCCAGGCTGTTCATAAACTCCTGGAACGCCCCAGGTTAAGAATCCCCAGTCTTATGCAATTGCTTTATTCTACCGATGAGGGAACTGTGGCTCAGAAAGCATAGTGACTTGTCCTAAGTTACATATTAATTGTAAGTCTCTGTAGAGGGCTCTCCCCTGGGACCATGTGACCAGAGAGAAAGAAGGGTAGGGACAAGAGAAGCCACGGACTTCCCCCCTGTGGTGACAAAGGCCTGAAACATGAGAGATTTGGGTCAGATATAAGGATGGACTTTCCCCCACAGCTTTAGATGTTGGAAGAAGGTACAGAGATTCATGCAACAAGTATTCAAAGAGTACCTGCTAGGTGTCATGCCCCATTCTAGGTGCTGGAAATCCATAAAGATCTAGATCTGGAAAACAGACAAAAATTCCGGCCCTCATTACAGCTTGTATTCTAGTTGGCAAAGACAGACAATGCCAAGTCAACAGTAAAAATATACAGCAAGTCCGATGATGGTAAGTGCGAAGGAAGAAAACTAAGCTAGGAAGGAGGCTAGGGAGGGTAGGGGTGAGTGTTGGTGTTGGGTTGCCGTTATAAATAGGGTGGCCAGGGACAGGATCATGAAGGTGACATACAAGTGCAGGGTCCTCTAGGAGGTATAGGGTAAAGCCTGAGTGATACCTGGGAGATAAGAAGGTAAAGGGCACCAAGTGAGGATCCTAATAATGGGATAGAGCTTGGCATAGCGGTGTTAAATACGTACTTGTTTAGGAGTGTGTATCAGTGAGCTGGGCAGTTATCACATAGCACTTTATAGATTATAAAGATTTTTACATTGGGCATTACAACCAACTCTGTTGAAGTTTTGCCCACGGCCACACACAGCCAGTAAGTGGCCAAGGTCAACCTGGTCCCAGGGCTCCAGCCTGCCGAGCACGGGGCAGACGGGCTCCTGCGTGGAGGCTGTACCACGAGCCCCAAGGTGCGCTCTCGTCCGCAGGTCAGGTACAGTGCGGGCAGGTGCACTGCCGACTGCCTTACACCGCCCCCCCCGTCCACCTCAAAGCCGATCTGGATGGGCCGCTCTCCAACCGGGGTGAGAAGGTAAGTGGAGCCAGGCTGGGTGTGGTGGGGCAGAGCCTTCCTGCCAGGGATGGGTTTCTGGCAGGCACCACGCCGCTCTGTGGCAGACCCTCTCCGCCCAGAATCCTCCAGCCTGCACCTTGCCCCCAAGGCAGTCGCTTGAGCAGCGTGTTCTGTGGGCACAGCCACTCCACAGGCCTCCTTGTAGCCCGCTCCCCCCTCCACACACCAATACTTGGCCTTTTTTTTTTTTTTTTTAGATTTGTGATTTTTAGTTACTTTGCTCACATTTTGTGGTTCCAGGAAAGGTTTATATCACACACCGCTTTGCATCCTACCCTGTCACCTGTTCTTCCTTCCTCATTTTTATCCCTGTCACTTGAGTGAGTGCCCCTATGTGGTGGGGCCCCGGGGTAGCAGGGTAGCAGGGGACCTTGGTCAACTGGCAGGGCCTCCTTTGTGGAAGTGGGATCTCTGGTTACCTCAAGCATCAGGACTGAACATCCAGAAGGGTGCTTAGACAGCCCCCAGGCCAATGGCCTGAAAGCTTTGTTTTTAAGCACTGGCACCCTTTAAAAATTTTTTTTCCCCAGAACCCATAAAACAGAGAAAAGTGGATAGAGCTGCTCCAGGTGAAACCACAGAGTGTGTAGGACCCCCACCTCCCTCTCAGGGCCGAGGTACCTCTCAGTTAGCCTTGCAAGCCTCTGTCCTAGGACGGCCCCTCGTTTTAGGAGTGGAGAAATTGAGGCACAGCTTGCTCCAGGTCCCAGAGCCTGGATGGAAACCCGTGTACTTCCTCATCTATTCAGCTGACATTTGCTATGTACTGACTGCTCGGCAGCCCCGAGTCAGTGGCCAGGAACACAGAGATGAGGAGAGCAGAGCTCTTGCTCTGTGGGGGCCACAGTCTGGAGGAGAAGACACAAAAGAATCACAACCCAGGGTGATGAAACTGATGGGAGAACCCAGGGAGCCGGAGGGTCGGGGCACAGCTCAGGAGGAACACAAGGAGGACTCTCCGGAGGAGGGCAATGTCTGCGCACAGGGCTGAAGGCTGAATCAGAGTTCATCAGAGAGAGGACGAACCACCCTGGCTCTTGGGGAACCCTGAGCAGTTCAACATTGCTGGTGCAGTGGGAGAGGAGGGGGACTGGGAGAGGAGCAGTAGGAGAGGTGGGGGACTCAGGGCTGCCAGGTGGAAGAGTCTGGAATTTGTCCTGGGGCAGTGGGGAGGCCCTGGAGGCCTCTTTTTAAATTAAATTAAATTTATTGATTTTTAAGGATTTTATTTTTTTAAGTCATCTCTACACCCAACATGGGGCTCAAACTCATAACCCCAAGATCAGAGAGTCTCATGCTTTATCAACTGAGCCAGCCTGGGGCCCCTCTTTTATTTTATTTTATTTATTTTTCTAGTTTTATTGAATGAAGGCCTCTTTTGGAAACACTGCTGTAGCAGGCCTCAGGGAGGCAGGGAGCCCCAGGAGTCAGCAGGTGTGGAGGGCCAGGAAGACTGGGCCAGTTCCTTCCAGCTGGAAGGGTCCCCAGGGACCTTCCAGGCCAGCAGAGCACAGTCTTGGCATACCTCAGAATCATCTGGGAAGCTAGTAAAGAGGCAGATTCCCCAGCCTCACCCTTAGAGAGTCTGCTGGGGAGGCTTGGGCGGGGGGAGCCACTCCCGCAGGACACCTCTGCTTATCCTGAATGAGCACCTGCTGTGTGCCCGGCTCCGTGCTGGGCACTGAGGGGCAGGGATATGGTGCAGGCAGCCTGGTTGCGCAGACGGATTTCTAAGTAAATGGTAGCATGCGGTACAAAATGCCGCAGATCAGTGGTGGGCGAGTGTGCCCCAGGAGCACCCGCCAAGGGGGTCCTGCTCACAGCAAGAGCTGCTGTTCCTCCAGCAACGCCTCCATTCACAGCAGGTGCTTTCTGTACTTTGATTGGTGTCTGTGGGTGTGGGGGTGGCCGTCCTCCTGGTAAAGATAAGGAAACTGAGGCTCAGAGAGATGACGTGACCTGTGCAGGGATGCCTCGAGTCTGCTGGGCTCCGAAGTCCATACAGGTCAGCCATAAGTTCCTTTTGCCCAGCACTTTACAGTTTACACAGTGCTCTCTCCGACCTCACCCTTCACAGCCTCCCTGGGAGGATGATTCTGACTGACTCCATGTCACACCTTCCGACACCTGGGCTCAGAGCAGTAGCTCACCAGTGTCACACCGTGAGTGTGGGTAGAGCTGGCCTCCATCCCAGGACTGCCCGCATCAGAGCTGCCATTCTCCTATGAAAGGGCACTTGTCCCGTCAGACCTGGCACAGGGCCTGCAGAGACGAGCAGGCACCATCCCTGTCCTCAAGGAGCGTGTGGCTTAGAGCAGGCGGTGAGCAGGGTGACAGAGCAGTTGAGGTGAGGGGTGAACATGGCCTTTGAGGACCCAGAAGAGGAAGTGATGAGCTCTTAGGGAGAAGCAGGGAATGGAAGAAGGGCGAACCATGCCAAGAGAAGAGCATGTGCAAAGGTCCAGAGGCATAGAGGAGCCTGGGTCTGAGGGACCACGGGGTGATTGGCATGACTGAGGCCCAAGGAGGTGTCAGGGGTCATACAATGAAGGGCCTGGACTGTGGAGCGAGGGGCTTAGGTTCTATCTGCAGGGCAGAGGGGAGCCTTGGAAGTGTTTCGGGCTGGGCTCAGCACTTGGAGCCAAGCCTTGTCTCCTGGTTACTCAGCTAAGCTTGTGGTTATGTCTGGTTCAGTCTGAAGGGTGAGCCAGTCTCGGGTCTGGCAGCTTTTGCTGCAGAAGGTTTCTGACCCCTGGGTTTGGCTGCCTAGCCAGAGTTTTCTCTTGCTGGGCCTCGTCCCCAACTTCACATCCAGCAGCTCTGCAAAAAAAAGAAAAAAATGTCTCTCCTTCCTTCACGACCTCCCACCCTCTCACTGTCAGCCCTTCCTGCCAGCTCCTGGGACCTTTTCTGTCCACCTCTTGCCAAAACCACGAGGCCCGGTGGGTTGTGTGTGATCAGTGCAAGACTTTCAGACTTTCTCCCAAATCCCCCCAGGCCTGCCTGGCGGAGCTGTGAGGAGACTTAGTACCCCCTGGGGCAGGCTTCTGAACCCACCCAAGACCAGCGCTGGTCTGGCCAGGAGGACAGGGCTGTGAGCATTTGCAGGGAGAACCCCCTGACTCCGCCTCATTGTCATTTGGCCACACATGCCTGAAAGTTTCCAGAACCGCCTTTCTCGGTCCTGTCCCCTGATTTCACAGTTTCAGAGCTTGGAAAGCTCTTAGAAATCAGGGCCATACTGTCATTGATCAGACAGAGAGACTGAGGCCCACCGAGTTATCTCTCCTGAGAAAGCTTCTCTTAGTAATAGCCCAAAGCCCGGCATCCCAGCGGTCAGAGAGCATTGCCCAAGGTTGGATGAGACGGTGCGGTGTGAGCTCTGGAGTCAGGCCATCTCTGAATCCCAGCTCTGTCCCCTTCTCACTGTGAGACCTGGGAACACAATCCACTTCTCTGAGCCTCCATTCCCACACCCACAAAATGGGGATAATAACGACTGCCACCCCCAAAGGTTGTTGCCGAGAGCAAACGCAATAACGCATGGGAAGCGTTTAGCACAGCACGTGGTTCACAGAGTGGGCTCGTAGATGTGGGTTATTGTGATTATGCTTATGGAGAGCGTCACCATTGCTTTCCTCCAGGTTCTCCTCACAGTAAACCCTCTGGGCAAGGAACATTCCTGATCAGAAAATGGAACAGCCATATGGCCATGCCCACTGGATGTCCCCAGACCACTTGAAAGGGCCTCCTGACATGTTACTGTGACGAGGCACCTCCCACTGACCAGCCAGCCAGTAATCCTTGACCTGAACGTCAGGGAGTTGACTGGGGCGGGGTGGGGGGTGGGGGGGTTGATGAGAAGCCAGTCCTGTGCTTTAGGAGGAAGAGGGCAAGGGAAAGGGGCAGGCATTCCTGATCACCCACAGTGTGTCAGGCACCTGGCTGCCTTTCGGCTTTGTGAAGATCCAGTGAAGTGCTTGGCCCATTGCCCGGGGTGTAGCGAGTGTCAGTGACAACCGTCCTGGTGGCTTGCGGAAGCAGAGGGCAATGTGTTACAACAAAGAGAGCGTGGTCTGGGGCCAGGCCTGGGTCCACCTTTTCCCAGCTGTGTGATCCCGGGCTTACTGATTTTCACCTCTCTGAGCCTCAGTGCCCTCCCTGTCAAATGGGCATAATGGCGGGACACCCTCACGGGGCTGAGGCTTCTGTCACATAACGTGAGTAAGGCACTTCACGCGGTGCTGGGCACAGGGCACAGGGCCCCGCAGACATGTGTTGTTGCTCTCGGATCTCACTGAAGCCTCCGCATTCTGAAAGTGAGGCTTTGTCATCCCCCCCCCGCTTTACAGATGAGGAAACAGGCTCAGAGAGGTGCAGTGAGCTGCCCAGGGTCTCACAGCAAGTAAGTGGCAGAGCTAGGATTTGAAACCAGATCTGGGCCCTGAGCGCCCCTCATTCTCCACGCCTTCCAGGACCTCTGGGCGGGCTGGGGGAGGGGCACCCGGTGGGGCAGGCCCCCAACTCAGCCACCTTCCTCGCCCTCCTCTTGCAGGTCATCCTTTTTCAGTACTAACGCTGCCAGCCCTGGTGCATCTGTCCACGGGCACCCTCCAACTGCCCCGCAGCCGCTGAAAGCTGGTGTCCGAGCCCCACTTCCAGGGATCCGCCCACTCCGCATCCACCCCTCACCCGCCGTCCTGACTGCCACCAGCCGGGCCCCCGGGGCCTGGCCTTCCCTTCTCCTGCTGACAACTAGAACCTGCCAAGAGCACTGCGGGGTCCTCCTCTCGGAAGGCAGAGCTCCCTGAAATTTGGAATCTGGGTGAAAACAACGGCCTGTTTTTCCATTTAGACAGGAGTCATCTTCAACTTAAGCTGATTACAATAGCAAAAGGCCAAATTGAATCGTGCAATGCCAACAGCCTTCTAATTTACAGGTTTTCTTTCTTCCCGTATTGGCCTTTATTTACTACTTCCTTGCAACCATCTCTGAATTCTGAATAGCCGACAACCCCCAATGTTATCCACTCTGTTGCTTTTGTCTGGAAAACTCTACAGTGTTTGTGGGATGTCCCCAAAGGAAAGCTATGTTCTAATTTTATCATTTCCATCTGTCTGGTTATGTCAAGTTAATTCAGAGAGAGAAGAGACACTGACCAACCCTGAGAGGCCCAACAGGGCAGAGATGGAGGCCTGCCCAGACCAAGAGGCAGGGGGAAAGGCAGGGGCTGGGGTGGGGGGTGCGGCTAGGACTCCCACCAGAGGAGGATGTGGTATGCTGGGCTGGGGGAGGCACTAGCTATTTTAAGGAGAGGAAAGAGAAGACTCGGGGTGTGTACCGGGGGGAGACTGTTCCTACCTAGTTACCCAGCATGTATACAGGAGACGTGGCAGAGATGCTGTTTGATATGCACGACGGCATTTCTGAACGCTTGCGCGGGTTAGAACCGGCGGCCCTCACTGGCTACTTGCTGACTCCTAATAGGGTTGCTCGGGCCACGTCTTCCTTGGAGGGGCCATCATGAGGGCAGCTGGAGAAACAGAGCCCAGGGAAACGGCAGTAGGAATGCTAATTCTGGACCCATCTCTGAGTAGAGAGAGGGTGCCTGCTGCCTAGGTGAGTGTGCCAAGCCCAGGATTCCAGGGGGGCACGTGGGGGCTTCCCCACCAGCCCTGCGCGGAGCCAGCCACACCCACTCGGGAGCGTGGAGGCCAGACACAGCTGTGCTCACATCCCTATTCTGCTGTAACTCTTCCACCCCAAACGAAAGGGCTTGGGCTACACAAGACCATGATTTATGTTTTCAGGGGATGCCCATTTGTCCCAAGCTCATCCTGTAATTTCAGAACTACTTGGTGTCCTGATGCATTTCCCACTAGAGGCTGCTAGTAAGCATGTTCTAGCCCAAGTCCTCCCTCTTGCTTCGGTTAGCCTGATGCATTGCTTTTGGAAGGAGACTCTAGGACGGGGAAAGCACGTTCATGGCACATATGTATCTGCTGTCCCTGCTTTCGTCGGTGGTAGACATCGCTGATTGATTGTATCACTCTTGTATCACTCTCGGAGTCTGGATCAGGTTTCGGAATCCAAATGCTTGAAGTTGGCACTTAAAAATGAAAACCTATATGCCTCTCTTGCTCTGGGACCTGGAGGAGGGCGAGGCACGGGTGTAGCCCAAGAAGGGAACCTGCTTCCTTTCCCTTCCAAAGACAGTTCCAGGGGACTCAGGGCCAAGAGAAGGTAGCACCAGAATGCGGTCAGTGTGGCTCGGTTCAGAGCTCATCCAGTGAGTAGCTTGTACCTGGCCCTGTGCAGGGTGCCGATGTTCACAAGAGGAACTCGGGCCTGATCCCTGGGGACTGGGGAGCTCTTGTGTTTCCTTTGATTTTTGCTCCTGATGACCGAAGCCCCGACCACAACAGCCATGTGGTAAGTGGCCAGCCGGGCCCTGCCCAGGATCACCTAGTACCCACTCTGCCTTGAGCCTCCCCCAGGGTCTGTTCTTTGCGTGGATCACGTGGTTGTAGCACGTTGCCGTTCAGACATGTCTCCACTAGCCTGTTAGAGCAGCCTGGGAACGCACAGGCCACCAAGACTATTTATTTAAATACAAAACAGAGGGAGAAAACACACACACGGAAAAAAATTGTAAGCACTTTTTTGTAAAACCAATGTCTGTTTTGTTACATACCTTTCATGTTGTGCTTTGTAAATGTCCTATTTGTGTAATAAATAAAGTTAATGCAAGTAGAAGTGCGGGCACTTAAATCCAGAACGCGATGGGATTCCATTTCTTTCCTGCTCTCTGGTTAAGGGCTCCGGCCCTCGGCACCCGAGGCTTCTGGGCTACTAGACAGTGCAGTCCCCCTTCCTGGACCCAGTTAAACCCAACCATGCGCTGCCAAGGCAGGACGGTGAGTTTCTTCTTCAATCAAAGCTTTGCAGGCAGTCGGTCTGGCTACTGTGCTCCATATCAGTCCTGAGCAAACACTTTCTACTGGGCCCCACGCTGGCTCTGCAGGCTTGGAGAAGGGCCCAGCCCACCAGCCCAAGAGGAGCTCTCAGTCTGGCCAATGCTGTAACAGTAGGATCCCTCCAACTTGCTGTGGGGGCCGGGGTGGGGGACAGAACAGGTGCAAAAATGAGATGTTGGGGGGCCAGGGAGGGGAAGGGCAGGGGAGCCTGTTTGGAAGATGTGGGAGAATTTGGTCTAGGGAAGTAAAGGGAATATGGGATGGGAATATGGGATGGGAGGCAGGGAGACAAGGAGACAAGGCTCCAGCTTTGACACAAGTCTGGGTCTCTGGGTTCCAGAGCCACCACACAATCTGGGGAGTGAGAGAGAACATCTTTCTGCTCATTGGCCACTTTTCTTTTAGCAGCAGAACTGTTGGTTCAAGTCAAAGCTCTCGAGGGGAGTGGAGTGGCCCTGCCTGGCCCTGCACAGAGTTGCTCATAAACCTCAGCTCGGGGTATACGTGGCCCTCACCTCTGCAGGGCCTGTCTTTATTAGTTGTTTCATCTGCCATCCCTGGCCCTGTCTCTGCCCTTCCCCTCTCCATTCTTCCAATCCACTTATCAAATGTTGATTTAGATATATGTGTATCTTTCAAAAATAGTTCAGCTTAATTTAATTGTGTGTGTGTGCTTCTTCACATGAATGTGCCTTCTGTTTTCAAAGCACAGTTTGGAAACCCCTGTGGAGATAAACCCTGTCATTCTACAGAGGTGATGTTGCCCTGAAGGGGAGGGGGAACCCCCCAGGACCCCTCCATGGAGCAGCTGAGTGTGCCCAGGCCACCCTCTGACTCCTAACTCTGCCTAGCCTGCCAACTCTGGGTCACTGGTTTGAGGGTCACTTTCCTGCCCCTGCAGACCTTGTCAGAGCCTCCACAGGCCCGCCTTCTCCTGGCAGCTCTTGGTGAATCAGGAACAAAGCATGGGGGGGTGGGGGTTGGATGGGCTGCGGGATCCAGCAGCCTCTATGAAGGGACGGTTATGCAGAGGCCAGGATGCCTGTGGCCCAAGTATGGCCCTAGAACATGTCACCCCTTCCTCTTCTGGTTTTCAGCTGACACTTGATCTTGGGGGTGATGTTGAGAAATACCTGGGAAATAAGAATGCATCAGGGAATGGCAGCTGGGAATGCACATTGCTAGACCCCATTCCCAGAGATTCTGGTTGGCATGTCTAGGGTAGGGTCCAGATATATCTAATTCACAGGTGATTTTGATGCCAGTGAAATGAGGATCCCCTAAGAAACCATCTCAGGAAAGTACACTTGGGGCCACTCAGAGCAGAAAGGCTTTATTCCTGAGTTAAAAGCCAGGGTCTGGAACTGCAGGCTGCCCCCAGGGCCGGCCATGGCCACGGCCAACAGTCTAGAGGAAACCTCCGCCCGCCGAGCTCACAGTTTGGGTCGGTGACCCACGATCTCGTCCCATCCCTTGCGACACGTCCTGATGATCCACTCGTGCTCATCATCATCTGCAGGGGAAGAGGAAGAGCTGATCATGCCTGGTGTTTGCTGGGCCTTCTCTGGGCTGGGAGACCCGCAGGTGGGGTCTTGGGACTGGGGTGCATTCCAGCACAGGGGTGTGGCCTTGGTGCCCAGGCTAGCTCTGTGCTGGGAAGGAACAGATCTTTCACTAAAACCCGAATCCTTCAGTTGCCTGCGAATGCCTGGTCTTGGGGAAAATTGAACACCAAGGGGTTTGCAGATGGTGGATATCACCGATGGAAGCAGGCACAAGGTCATCTGGCCACTCTGAGCCGGGCAGCCCCGACACGCACCCAGAGAGCAGCTTGCTCGGGCATTTGCCCCGTCTGACACCCACAAAGGGCACCTCCCAGAACAGCCAGGCCAGGCCTTGCCTGTAGTGGCAGGGGCCGGAGCCCTCAGCTCTTCTTCGTTTCCTTTCTGGGTTTCCCATTGTAGACCCTTCTAAGAACCTGTGGCTCCCCAGGGGAACCTGACACCTCTGTTGACTCGGGTCCTTTCAGTGGGGAATAGAGAGAAGGAACTGATGTTCCTGTCAGCCCTGTGCTCCTTGATCTCCCCCATTTTAACCCCCGTGAGCACCTGCAGGCAGCAATCCTGCCATTCTGCCCATGAACAAGCAGACTCAGAGAGGTCAAGTCACCGGCGCATGGCCACAGGTTAGTACGTGGGAGAGCCCAGAATGCGGACCCAGGTTGGTCCGACTACAAAGCTTGTGCTGTTTTTCTAAACCTCGGAGAGAGGGAGTGAAACACAGTCTTTGCCGCCCCCCCCCATCCGCCACACCACAGTCATCTCTCTGGGGACTGACTTATTTTCCCCCATTATCCCCCACACCCACACCCAGCCCCTCCCCAAGCCCTGACAGAGACCCACTTGAATGGTGGCATATATACCCCTAAAAATGCATGCAGCTCTGTAAAATGTATGCTGTTGCTTTGTGTGCGAATGTGGTTTTAATTTGCCACCATAAATGGCATTGTGCTGTGAATTTCATTGTGTCTTACTTTTTTCACTCAACACTACATTTTTTTTTTTTTTTAAGATTTTATTTGAGAGAGAGAGAATGAGAGAGAACACATGAGAGGGGGGAGGGTCAGAGGGAGAAGCAGACTCCCCGCCGAGCAGGGAGCCCGATGCGGGACTCGATCCCGGGACTCCAGGATCATGACCTGAGCCGAAGGCAGTCGCTTAACCAACTGAGCCACCCAGACGCCCCTGGGTCGTAATTCCTTTTTTTTTTTTTTTTAAAGATTTTATTTATTTATTTGAGAGAGAGAATGAGATAGAGAGCATGAGAGGGGGGAGGGTCAGAGGGAGAAGCAGACTCCCCGCCGAGCAGGGAGCCCGATGCGGGACTCGATCCCGGGACTCCAGGATCATGACCTGAGCCGAAGGCAGTCGCTTAACCAACTGAGCCACCCAGACGCCCCTGGGTCGTAATTCCTTTTTTTTTTTTTTTTAAAGATTTTATTTATTTATTTGAGAGAGAGAATGAGATAGAGAGCATGAGAGGGGGGAGGGTCAGAGGGAGAAGCAGACTCCCCGCCGAGCAGGGAGCCCGATGCGGGACTCGATCCCGGGACTCCAGGATCATGACCTGAGCCGAAGGCAGTCGCTTAACCAACTGAGCCACCCAGACGCCCCTGGGTCGTAATTCCTTTTTTTTTTTTTTTTAAAGATTTTATTTGAGAGAGAGAGAATGAGAGAGAACACATGAGAGGGGGGAGGGTCAGAGGGAGAAGCAGACTCCCTGCCGAGCTGGGAGCCCGATGCGGGACTCGATCCAGGGACTCCAGGATCATGACCTGAGCCGGAGGCAGTCGCTTAACCAACTGAGCCACCCAGGCGCCCTCAACACTACATTTTCAAGATCTATTCTTTTTTTTTTTTTTTTTTTTTTTTAAAGATTTTATTTATTTATTTGACAGAGAGAGACACAGCGAGAGAGGGAACACAAGCAGGGGGAGTGGGAGAGGGAGAAGAAGGCTTCCCGCAGAGCAGGGAGCCTGATGTGGGGCTCGATCCCAGGACCCTGGGATCATGACCTGAGCCGAAGGCAGACGCTTAACGACTGAGCCACCCAGGCGCCCTCAAGATCTATTCTTGTTGCTCAGTGTACATCTAGTCCTTTACCTCTTACTGCTGCCTCATACTCTGTGGTGGCTTCCCTGTGATGTTTTACTATCCGCCCTTCCGGGGCAGGACACCCAAGGGTGCTACCTCCAGTTACCAGAAATACTGCCAGGACAGACGTTGTTGGGCCCACCCCTTCCCCGACTCCTGGGAGAACGTCGAGGGGGAGGGTCTCAGAGTCGCACCCGCGCTTCCTGAACCAAGGCTCCCAGCTAAGCCTGAGTTCTTAGGCTGTCCCTGCCTCATTCCTGCCTCACCTCTGTGTCAGGCCCTGGGGACAAAGAGAACTAGCCCAAACCCCTGCCCTCAAGCTGTTCTCCTCAGGGCTACAACCCTGGAAGGCTTTAGTGTCCTCTCCTGACCTGCCTCCGCCTAAGGGATGGGAGCACGGGACTACGGGTCCTCCTCGGGGACACATGGCGGTAGCCAGAGATCAAGGGCACCCCACCCCCGAGAGCTCAAACATGGAGGGCCAGCCCAAATCCTGCCCTCCCAATCAGATCCCCCTGCCCCCTTCCTCTTCTGGGAAAGCACCAGGCCCAGGCTCGGAGAGATGGAGCCTTACTGACAGCCTACTGTGTGTCCGAGCTTTACAAACACCCGTCTTGTGGAGTCTTTGTGATAGCCCAGGAGGGTAGGGGAGGTTACCCCCATTTGAGAGAGGTGACGAGCCTTGCCTCACCTCCACAGCCAGTGGAATTCAAACCTAGGCCCATCAGACTCCAAAGCCTGACGCCCCCCGCCCCGCCCCGCCAGGGCTGATGTGACAAGGGTGCCAGAAGGCGAGGCTGCCCCCACAGAGCTAGCCTCCTTGGCCTCCTCCCCACTACTCCTTTGTATGTGACCCCAGGAAAGAGGCTTGACGCCTGGCACGCTCTTGCCTTCGAGGACTGCCCTGGGCAGCTGGTGGGCCTCTATTTCTCCTGGGGAGGCTGCTGGGGAATCCACGCGTGGCTGTCAGCCCCGGGGGCGGGGACAGCGGTGGCACACAAGGAGTTAAGTGAAGCCCACTTTTGCCACACCGCGAGCAGCCTGGTTGATAATTACAGTTCTGAAGTCTCTGGGCTATTCGAATCAGTGCAGCTGCAAGCTCTTCAGTGCTAACCCCTGAAACCAGACAAACTGGGTTTATTGTGCTAAACCAGCCCTCAGGCCCCTCCCTGATCATTACAAATTGACAGCAATGGACTTAACAGCCTCTTCACTACCCCTCTCGCTCTCTACCTGGCGGCACAGCCACCAATTTGAATCACAGATGCCTCCCCTCCCAGCAGCTGCTCACCAACCCTCCCTCCACCTCCTTTGCGCTACGCCGAGGCTCCCCTGGCCCCGCCAGGCCAGGGTGAGGCTGCCGAAGCACGTTTCATCAATATTTAAAATGGAATTAAACCTGCCGCTTTGATTAATGCCTCCCAGGGCCCGGGAGTTGTGATTACTATTTTGCAAATTGCAATTGTTGGAATATGTTAATATGATTGTCTGAGAACATCTTCACCTTCTCAGATAATTTCCCCCCTTTTTGGCAGGAGGGGAGAGGGGAGAGGAAGGGGGGGAAAGATGGGGAAAAAAACACACCCCGCAAACTCTTTAATCAATTGTAAATTATTACCCGGGCACAACTGCCGGGGGTTCCGAGGGGAAGGGGAGGGAGATTTCTGGTTTGGTGCATTTATCTTGAAAAGTTTTGGCCTTGTTGGCCCATAATTCCCCTCTGGGACGCTATCCTAAGGGAATAATCTATTTGTCTCAGTATTATTGAGAATCAAGGAAACTGAAATAATCTACGTTTCTAACAAGAGAATGATTACTTTGTTGTGTGTTCATTTAACAACCAATTTGTAAACGGGGACTGTGGGCCAGGTATTGTGCTAAGTTTGGCGGCAGGGTTGGGGGGGGGGCTGTGATTTAGCAGCTCTTGAAAAAGTCGGGTTATGAAGTCTGTATAGCAACATAGAGATGTTTTTGATATGATAAAAAGGTGGCAAGAGGCGAGAAAATTAACATTGACAGTATAATCGGCAAAAACCGTGCACAGGAGAAAAATTAAAAATAACACATTGAATGTGAATAATAGGCATCTCTGAACAGTGGGACGTGAGAGGTTCTTCTGTTTTGGGTATTTCCCAAATCTTCTTAATGTGTATTGACAGTCGAAAAAATAAGAAATGATTGTCTTTTTTCCTACCCTCCAACTTAATGCCTTGCTAATTTCATGCATTTTGGTAGTTGAAAAAAATATTTCTAGGTTCCTAGAAACACCAATGGGGGTTCTTGAATTTCTACAAAGTAAAAGAGTCAGCGTTAAAGTTATTGGTAGAAATGGGAGAATAGGGCGCCTGGGTGGCTCAGATGGTTAAGCGTCTGCCTTCGGCTCAGGTCATGATCTCAGGGTCCTGGGATCGAGTCCCACATCGGGCTCCCTGCTCCTTGGGAGCCTGCTTCCTCCTCTGCCTCTCTCTCTCTGTCTCTCATGAATAAAAAAAAAAAAAAAAAAAAAGAAATGGGAGAATAGACAAATTTCCTGAGCGGAAGAATTACAAATAATTTCGGTGACCACTGCCCTCAAGGAGGTGGGGCTTAATTCCCCACTCCTTAGGTGTGGGCTGCAGAGTGACTTCCTCCCCACCAGGACAGTATAGGAAAGGAGCAAAAAACAACAACCAACAAAGAGTAGCTTTGGCTTGCCTTGATCACCATCAGCAAACTATCCCTGAGCACCTATTTCTTGGTGTCCAGGTCACAGCTCAAATATCACTTCCTCAGTGACCCCAGTCTGCCCGTGACCACCCTTCACTTTCTCTTCATAGCACAGGCTTCTCTCTGTAATTGTCTTGTTTATTTGTATGTTGTC